ATAGAATAGAATAGAATAGAATAGAATAGAATAGAATAGAATAGAATTCTTTATTGGCCAAGTGTGATTGGACACACAAGGAATTTGTTTTGGTGTAAAACAAATACATTTGTCAAGAATCATAAGTATAACACTAGTCAAAGGGTACAAATAAGCAGTCAAATCATACTAGGAACCATAATAATAAGTGATCAAATCAAATCATACTAGCAAACAGTCAATAAAAAATCATAAGGATACAAGCAACAAAGTTACATTCATGCAGTCATAATTGGGAGGAGATGGGTGAAAGGAAGGATGAGAAAATTAATAGTAATAGTAATGCAGACTTAATAAATAGTTGGACAGTGTTCAGGGAATTATTTGTTTAGCCAAGTGATGGAGTTCAGGGAAAAACTATTCTTGTGTCTGTTTGTTCTGGTGTGCAGTGCTCTATAGCGTCGTTTTGAGGGTAGGAGTTGAAACAGTTTATGCCCAGGACGTGAGGGACATCAAGTGGGGATGAGTAAAGCGTTCAAATTAATAATCAGATTAAATGAAAATATGGGGTGATAATTTTCAAAATTTAAGAATGAAAGTCAATTTTCAAGCCCAAACAATAAAGTAGGGATCCTTTTGAAGTCATGGAGAACTCCTGAATATTGTGTTGTGAATTATAAGAAAAGTAAAAGATTAAATTAAAGAAACAGTCCCTGATTGGGAGAGTAGCTGTTTTGTAATTTGAGGGAACTTGGAGATAAATATTTAAAGTTGGAAGGAACTAAGTTTGCCATAAAACAGATTTCTACTTAGAAGTTAGCAATAAATTTCCTAGTTTCCTGAAGTGTGTCTATCTATAGTTTATGAATCTCACTCCAAACCTGTCTGTCTTAATCTAATTGTACTGACAATAGATATAGTAGCTAAGAATTAGCTCTCCCAACATATGTGGAGGATGCCCTGCTTCAGAGCATTTACATAACCCATAGTTTCCAACCTGATTGTCTTCCAAATATGGAGAGAATTTAGCTTCTGAAATTCTCAGAAATTGTCACACTGGCTGGAAAAAAACCTGGGCCTAGATTGAGTAGGTGTGAGTTAAACTTTTAGTTTCACATCAAGCTTTGCCTAAAATTTAGTGATTTAAATAGAAGTGGCATTTCATTGGAGGACAGGATTGAATGTGGTCACTTAAGCTTGATCTTGAGCTCCCATCTCCTTCAGTTCAAGTTACAAGTGGGGAAAGTAGCCTCTACTATCTGGAAATGCACGTATGAATCAGTGATAGTATTCAGATTATTTTACTACCGGCTCTGTGGGCATGGCGTGAAAAGCATGGCATAGCTTGGTGGGCATGGCAAAGGAAGGAGATTGCAAAATCTCAATTTCCTTCCCAAATTCCTGGGGGAAGATTACTGTAGAATCCCTATTCCCTCCCCACTCCACTAACCTGCTTTCCAGCTCCTTTCTCCTGTTCAGGGCAACAAAAGAAGGCCCATCCGATCAGCTGGGACTTGGGAGGCAGAGAATAGATGGGGGCGGGGCCAGTCAGAGGTGGTATTTGCTGGTTCTCCAAACTGCTTAAAATTTCCGCTGCCAGTTCTCCAGAACCTGTCAGAACCTGCTGAATACCACCTTTGGTATGAATAGAACCTTCATGCAGGTCTTTGACAGCATGCAGTATCTGGAAGGCTTTTCCAACCCTAGCTTTGCAAGAACAGAATTGTATTACTAAGCTTGTTCCTCCTTTGAATTCTCAAAAAAGAATTCAATAAGCTACCTAGCAGCAATAGGCTATCTGATGGGTCTGGCATCTGCAGTCTCATAATAATGTTTCGGCATAATATACAGAAAATATACAGGCATAGTATACAGGAAAAAAATATTCACTAATACAATGTAATCTGATATTCTGTATTTTTCTCTTTGTCTTTGTTTAAAGAAACAAAATACGTAACTTTTGAAGGCCTGGAGGACCTACAGTGGAAATTATTCAAAGGTCTGCTAAAACGAAAGCCAAAAACAGTGGGAATTTGGAGGAAAGCACATTACACAAAGAAACCTGTCACAACTGTTATTCGTGAAGCAAAGGAACATATCCTTCCCCTGCTACCTAAAGACTGGATAATTGATGAGTCCCTCAAGTTTTCCAAGGAAAAGATTTTTTCCTTCTTTTTAGAAACTGAGTCACCTGTGAATATGTAGCAGTCCCTGAAGTTCAGGAAGAATATGTAAACAAGCAATAAACAACACATTGTGTTGGACATACAGTGTGATGCCATTAAGTAATTTGCTTATTGTAACATAAAATAGGGCTATTTTGGTTTCCAGCCTTTGGTTTTTTTTTCAACTACAGTAGCCTGTTCTGTTATTCTATGCCAATTTATAAACTCTCATGATCTGGTGTTCTCCAGGTGGATCTCATGTGGAATTCAGAAGTTGCAGCCCCATCTCTCACCCCCCACTAGGTAGGCCAGACCAGGAAATCAATTCCACTGGAAAGCTACAACTATTTTTATTGGAATTGGCTATAAAAACAAATCTTTGTGAGTATGATAGTGCTATTCCTCCCCTCCTCTTTATAGTTCAGTGAATTAGAGAGGTGTCTCAGTTGTCTTCAAACATAATCTGGATGTTCTGGGCTTAAATAATAATTTAGCTTCATTTATCTAAGCAACAGCACTTATATATTTCCATCAAGGTCATCTTTACTCTCTACGCCACCAGAGCTTTAAAAAAAGTGCTGTATTTTACTGGAGAATACTGATATTTGATCTTGCTGCTTGATTGCAGTTTTACTGATACTGATAGAAGTAAGGGCTATTCTGCTGAATGCCGTGCAAACACCTACACAATTCCTTTGTTTGGCAGATCTAAAAAGACTTGTTGGAAGAGCTAGAGAAGTAAAGCTCTTAGAATTCAATATAAAAACCATATTCTTGGCTATATCTATGATGTATGACATTTTTAGATCAGATTAACAACAATCCCTATATATATTGATAAAAAGTCTATTGTAGTCCTGTAAGCATATATGTATGTATACATCACTAATAAACGCAAGTGCTTAACTGTGGTATGCTGACACTATTATGAATATACTAGTGGGGAAAAAATGGAGGCAGAACCATGGATATGTCTTAAGGAGCTTATGGAAGAATGACCTGTTATCTGAGAATAATATCCCGAATTGTGTATTTAGGGACGGGAGAGATGGCTATCTATTGCTATCTATTTCTATCTGGTACAAGCAGCTCTTTTTAGTTACCCTACGCTCGCTATTCAGGCTGATCAAGGTTTAGATACCAATTGTCCCTATCTGAAGCACACTGGTCGTAGAAAGGAAGGCCAAGGAAGTCCACATTGACCAAAGTTGGGCAGTTGATGATTGGTCTGATATCCTTTATTTGGAATCCTCTTAACTCCAGGACCCCCAACCTCCGGGCTTCAGCCCATTCCTAGGCCTTGAGCTATTTGGCACTGGGCCACAGAAGTGGTGGGCGAGCACACACACATCGCCACTTGCATGAGCAGTGGGCAAGGTGTGCTCGTGCGAATGGAGCTGTGAGCCCATACTTTGCCTGCCACTTAAAGCAGAATTGTCTCCTCTCTCCCCCGGCCCCCGGGCTGGGCCACAAAATGGAAAGATTGGGGGACCCTGATCTAACTCATTTTATCAATTATTTGCGAAAGTGTCCCAGCCACTTGACAATATCAGGTAATTCTCATTAAATGAGGACAAATCAGGACTTGTAACACTGTTGCTAAGTGATGCATTATAATGTAGGTTCCACCGTGGCTGTAAAGTATAACATGACAGTAACTTATTGTTTAAATTAAAAAAGAAAAGTTACTAATACTGAAGGTCTCTTCTTGGTGAATTGAGGAACTCCTCTAAAGCTTTTGGTGTGAAATCACTCATCTCTGGATTCCAGAGCTTGATAATGCATGTACAAAACTATCCACTACCTGCCTCTGTCCTCTGGCTTCCCTGCCTTGGCTCTTGATTCACTGACCTGGGTCTGCCTCTGCTGGACTGTTTTTTCTTGATTAGCAACATTTCACCTGGGCCAGTTTCTGGTTTATCTGGTCTAAATTAGGCCGCTTAGCAGCCCGGTATGTCTATATTTTCAGATAGCTTTGTTTGTATGCTTTCTTGCTCTGCTTGATATCCCTCCACATTTTTTCCCCTTTTTCCTTATTAAGTTACAGTACTGACTTCTGATAGTCTGATATTTATACCATCTGAGTAAAACTAATGAATCCATAAGCACCGGAGTGGATTTCCTTAATTAAGATGTGGCCTATGCAGAGGTTGGTGATGGCTATAGCCCCATTAATCTAACATCTAACCAGAAAGTGATTTGACTGTAACAATGGATTCAACCCTTCCAGAATACTTGGAATATGCTTTAAGGAAAATACTAAATCTGTTGAATGGACACCTGTGTGCATTGTGCCAAGTATTACCTGGGATGCAACCAGGTTGCTATAGAGGTAATAGACTGCTGAGTCATCCCTAGAACTTGTCCTCAGGATTTGAAGATTGCAAACACACCATCACCAGCTTGATCAGATCCAACTTCAGCCTCCCATGAGATCAATGATTTCAGGTAGGAATACTGCAGCAGAGTGAATGTGGGGCACCAGTAGTAATGTCCCAAACTTTAATATTTTTTTTCCTTGAATGCCCTTTGATGTTTATCTTTCACTGTCTTGGAAAAAGTACCGTAGACCAGTACAGTACTGTCGTACTGTTTTAGACCAGTTTTTCAGAGGCCAGCAATGAGTGTCGTTTTTCTCAGAGTGTATCTTCTTTAATGGCTTTATTAGACTTTTTATGTTATTACAGGCTAAGCAATTAGGTAAGTGCTTGAAATTTTTATTTTTTCCGTGTATAGGATTAAGATGAGAATCCTACTGTGCCGAGAATATTCTTGAGTGTCCTGCATGACACTCAGCTATAAAGACTGCATAAAAGGCCTACATTGCTTTAATTGAATTGTAACTGATCTACTGAAACATTTGCAATTTTATTCTGATAGAAGAGCAAAAATATCAATTTTCTTTTTCTAATGGCAGTATAGAAATGCGTGCCAAGAACTAATGATAGAAGAGTACAGTTTACTCAGAACATCATGAAACCTGGACACACACACACACACACACACACACCCCTTACCATGTTGTATAGTATATTATTTTACAGATAGTTTTGACTTAAGTATTTTTTACTTAATAGGCTATTATAATTGTAAGCTTAGGTTTATATAATGCTTTAAAGTGATTTGCTTAATATGTTGTGGGAATCCAATATTAGTAAATATTGCTTTGGGTTTATTTAGTGGGTTAGGTTTATTTATTTAGGTGACCCCCCCCCCCCCCAGTGAATTTGTTTATTCAATCAACCTAGTTATATCATATTTTATCATGATATCTAATTTAAAACTCTAAGTGAGCATTGTATATGTCCTTAAAAGAAAGTGAAATTCTACATATGAATAAGGGCTTGTGACTGTATATTATACACAAATATAGAATCACTGCAAATAATTGTGCTGCTGTCTTATTGATGAATATATAATTACTGCAAAACAATCTCTTATGCAAGATTTTAATATGTTTGATTGAAATACTATATACAACTTAGAACAAACCATTACTTTGACATATCCATATTTATGACAGCAAGTGTAAATCTAATTAATATGGTATTAATTAAATCTGCAGATTCAATGGTTATTTTCATGATAAAATATGGTTTAATGAGCATTTTTTAAAGTCTGTGTGGGAAGAATCTATTAGAAGAATCTATCTTTTGAACTGTATTGTTGCCTGTCTTCATCATTGAACTTGCAAGCAAAGAATGTGAAGTTATTAATGTAAGCTTTTTGAGTAAAATGGTAGAATATAAAAGTTTTTAAAAAAACAAACACCATCCATCTATTATGCTAGGCTAGGGCATAACAAAGTAAAACTTTTTTAAAAAAATATTAGGCTGGCCAGCAGATGGCAGCAGACATAAAATTTTGCACAAAAATCATTTGCTGGTCCATGGGAAAAACATAAAATCCAAAGCTGGATGACAGCTTTATTGAGATCAACAAAAACGACACACAGGGGTGTGACTCTTAAAGCAAACCCTGTTCACAAAAGATCTTTAACAGTAAAATAAATAAAATAACAAAAGGAATTGATTCTTTTCATAGTCCTTGTATTGCAAGCTCATATTTGCTTACAGACAGCTCTCCAGCTAAAGCAGCTCTCTAAGCAGTTTACAGAGTCAGCATATTGGCCCCAACAATTTGGGTCCTCATTTTACCCACCTCGGAAGGATGGAAAGCTGAGTCAACCTTGAGCCTGGTGGGGTTCGATCTGTCAAATTGCAGGCAGCTGGCAGTCAGCAAAGTAGCCTGCAGTACTACACTCTAACCACTGTGCCACCACGGCTCTTATGCACTTATGCACCGCCCCATAATGTATCAGTAGCACTTATGTACTCCCATCATGTTTTACAGCACTCTGAGCACTCAATCTGAGTCCTCAGGATAGAACTTCAGGCTGTGGGCAGATTGCCTGCAATAAGGCATTCTAACCATTGCACCACTAGAGATCCTTATGCTGCTATTAATGCTAAACTCATTCTTTAATACACATAATGGCACTGCCTATGTACATACGAGACCTAGTTTGGTGTAGTGGTTAAGGCATTGAGCTATAAATTGGGAATCTGAGAGTTTTAATCCACCTTTAGGGACAAAGTCAATTGTGTGAGCTTGGGCCAGTCCTTCCCTCAGCCCTTGGAAAGAGACAGTGGCAAACCACTTCTGAAAAACCTAGAGCCAAGAAAACTGTAGGGATTTGAGAACTGGATACTATTGAATGGAAGAGGGGAAAGTACTATGAGAGACAGTAGGAGTTTGGACAAACATAAACAAAATTTTATGATGTGGGATCACCACGAATATGCTCAGAATGCACATAGAAAGACTTGGAATATTAATTTAGTTTAGTTTATTGTCATTGCACCTCATACAATGAAATCAAACACCATCTTCAGTGAACATCATGACCATGAAAATAAACACACACATCCTTCACACTCCACACATTGAATTGAAAACCCTGACACTACACCAACACTGCACTATACAGAAGAATTCAACAGAGCTACTGCCCTGGGATAGAACTTGTCAGTCTGTGTACCAGATGGTAATCGTTCAAAAAAAGGGTGCCTAGGATGAGATGGATCTTTAAGAATGTTTTGAACTTTCTTAAGGCAGCGGGAGTTATAAAGCTCTTCCAAAGAGGGGAGAGGGAAACCCATGATCTTCTGGGCAATGACATTAACCATCTGGAGTGCTTTCCTATCTGCCACTGTGCAACTGGCAAACCATACAGAGGTGCAGTAAGTTAAGATACTCTCTATGGTGCAGCCGGGGGTGGGTTTCTACCGGTACTGTCCACCTCTGTAGAACTGGTAGCTCTGAGGAGCAGCAGACATAGAACCGGTTCTATGTCTGCTGATGTTTTTGCCCACTGGCTCACCCAGGCTCTTACCCGACCTTTATTTCCTGATTTTTCAACTTCAGCTGCCGCACGAGGCACAGCTGCAGTTAAAAAGGAAGGAAAAGAGGGCTGTTTCAAAGGCTGCTTCTCTGCATGCAGCGTGCCGATGATGATTTACAGGCGCGTGCATGCAGCGTGCAGGAAACACATCGTAAATCACCGAACCGATAGTTAACCCTGTCCAAACCCCTGGGTGCAGTGGTAGAACGTCACCAGCAGTTTTCCATTCTGTTGTTGTTTTCTGAGAAGTCTCAGGTAGTATGATCTCTTCTAGGTCCTTTTGACCAGTGCTGCAATGTGGGCACCCCAGGTCAGGTCCTCTTTTAGGGTAATACTCAGAAACTTAAAACTGGCCACTTGTTTCACCCAGTCTCCATTGATAAGCAAGGGCTGGATGTCTGATCTGTTCCTTCTATAGTCCACTATAAGCTCCTTGGTCTTATTGGTGTTGTGGACCAAGTTATTGCCTCCACACCACGAAAGAAACTAGTCGACCTCATCTCGATAGGCAGAGTCATACCCCCCCCCCCCCCCCCCGGAGATTAAGGTGGATATGAAGAAATGCATTGTTCCTGAAGAAAGCACAGATGCCTTAGCTGAGCCTGGTGTTTAGGCATTTTAGATAACATTGTGCAGGGTTTCAGTTTATTTTAAAAATTTATACCAAGCCTCAGTCCTGGCTTCATCAAATTACATAACAGAGACAGAAGCTTCCTTGTAGAGAAGTGTTACCCTTGGGAGGTAGGCCAGACAAGAAGTACACCCAGAAGTACTACTTGTCTCTTTATTGTAATGTTCGACTGTCAAAATCTAGCAAAATCTAGCAAGAAACTAGGGAGATCCCTACTGAGATGTTTGCCACAGCTACATTCTTTCGGTGGACTCAACTGCCATTTGCCTGGTCTGTGGCTTTTCTTCCAGTCCCCCAAGGTCATTCCCACATACCAATATAGGAATCTACTAAAGCAACTTATCGACATGTGAATGATAATGTGCCATAAAATAGGTACCTGAAGTAGATTCCATGGTGTCATTCGTACTATGATGTCATGACATACATTTTGAAATAATCGTGGTTTGTTACTGATGCCCCTAAAGAGATCAGAGACAATCTGAAGCATATTTGCTACAGCTAGTCCACTATCATAATCACTTGCTTCATTCTCCTGCTTTTTGATGCCTTAGGACAACGGCATAATGGCTGAGAAAGAAGACATTTGGGACTGTTGTAGTCCCAGTATAATATAAATGCATAAAAAAGGCATTAAGCTTGGATATGCACTACAATGTATTTTAAAAGCTTGTACCAGTGGATAATAATATTCTCCTGTTACATTTCATTTGTTAGGACAGAAAATCTGTTAAGACAAAACACACAAACAAAAATGCAAAAGTGATTCTCCAAGCAGAGGTGTCCATAGGTGGGAGGTCCTAAAAGAAGAAGATGGCTGTGACTGATTGATCATCTGCCCTTTTTTAAAAAAATGTGTGTTGTATTTATTTTGATCATGCAGTTAAGGCTGCTATTTTTACTTTCTTGATTTTCATTTATGGACACTCCAGGTTCAATACAAACAGCAAAAAATATTTTCAAAGAGATTAAAAATGTAAACTGGATTTAATTCGCTATATCACAAGATTCTATAGAGATAATACACGAATACACAGTTCTCTTGTACGCAAAAATAAAA